GGGCAGAAGACTTAGGCACATCTCACCAGCTGTACCTGCCTGCTCAAGGACTGAAGGCAGGTCCAAGAAGGTCTGCTCTTTCTCTTCTTCTGCCCCCCAAACCTGTCTAGGAGCAGACTGCCATAAATCCCATTGGCTCTTTACCCCAAAATTTCCAATAACCTACATTGTGCCTCAACCATAAGGAGGCCAGTGCTCAAAAATGTAAATTAAGGCAGAGAGTCCAACCTTGGCCTACATGTTATGAATTTTACCTGACCAGACACTCAAAGAGATCATGATGATAGCCCTAACTTTTTACTGAGCATAAGCTCCCTAAAGCAGCAGAGGAAAGAATTATGCGGATCTGATGGGCTATTATACCCACCCAGGCTTAATATGAGCTAACATTGTAGCAGGACAGGAGAAACACAGACAAGCAAATGTATACAAGGAATTGGGGGGGGGAGAGGGAGAGAGAGAGAGAGAGAGAGAGAGAGAGAGAGAGAGAGAGAGTGTCTGTGTGTATAATAGAGCTTTGAAGTCAGGAAGATTTGCGTTCAAGCGTCATAAATCTGACATACACTGGCTGTGTGACCATGGTCGAGCCACTTCCTGCCTCCACCCTCTATACAGATCTCATGAATTACAAGTTACAGAGAAGGTGCTGACCTACATTGTTATCAGAAGGTCCTCCATGGGAGCTCCCCACCCTAGTATCCCAGGCCCAGGCCCAAAAGAACCAAACCAAACCACCACCACCACCAGAAGAATACCCATCATTTTCATTCTCTCTGGCTCTCCTTCCTCACCTCCTCCTATTGCCTTCCCTGGTTTCTTTTGAATCTTAACTAAAAATTTACCTCCTACAGAAGCTTTCTAAAATCCCTCTTAATTCTAATGTCTTCCATCTGCTAATTATTTCCTATTTAACTTGCATATAGCTTGCTTTGTATATATTTGTTTTCGTGTTGTCTCCCACATTAGATTGTGAGCTCCTTGAGGGCAGGAACTCTCTTTTGCCTTGTTTTGGATCCCCAGTGCTTGCCATAGTACCTGGCACATAGCAGGCACTTAACAAATATTTGATTGTGGGACATTTGGAGAATGGTTGAATAAGTTGTGGCATATGAATAGGGTGAAATATTCTTGCACCAAAAGGAACTATGAATACCAGGGATTCAGAAGAATATTTTATGAATTAATGAAGAATTAAACAGGTAAACTCAAGAACAATACGACCAATGACCGTAATAACATAAAGGGGAAAAACCCCACACTAAAAGGCAGCAACAATTAGATGAATGCAGCACTCAAGCTGGGTCTCTCCTTTTGAGAGATGTGGGGACCTACAGCACACAGTGCTCTGTAAATATCAAATAAGGTTAATTATAGTCAAGTTAGTTGACTAGGAGTGATTATTGCAAAGTGACAATTGTGTAAAAAGTCAAATGTATAAATAAAATATTTTCCATGATATTTTTGTCACTATAAAATCAGTGGCCAAAGGAACTAAATTGAACAAGGTAATGGAGTCATAACAAAAAGAAGTTTGGAGGTCTTTTTGACTTCATATGGGTCTATACTCAGAGGGAACTGGAAAATCGAGGGAATTATCTAGATAATTCAAAGGAAAGAAACCTTCTCCTGGAACCACTGTTCTCTCTGCCTTTTTTTTTTCTTTCATCATTTATCTTTTCAAAGAGTAACCTACACTCACTGCCTCCTCTGCTCAGCCCTACTCAGTCCTCACCTGTTTGGAGTGTTGCTCCACAATGAACCTGCTCAGTCCAAAGTTGCCAGTGAATGCCTGATCATGGCATTATTTCAGTCCTCCTCAACCTACCAGCACCTTCAGACCCTTAGTTTTCTGGAAAGTTGGTCTTCTCTGACTTCTCCTACTCTGTCTCTGTTTCTGGTGGCTTCCCTTCCCTCTGCCATTCCTTCAGTATGAGGGGGAATCCTTGCCTCTCTGCCTGTAGAATCATCCTTCTCCAATCCATCTTTCTCACTGCCATCCACTTCATTTTCAAGGAGAAGGTGCCCCTTGAGCTGAGATGAGGAAAATTATGTGGGACATTAAGGTTAGCATAGGAACAGGAAACGGTTATCCTGATGAAGAGTTAGGAGAGACAGTGGAGCTGTCTTCAAGGACTTGAAAGACTGACACATGCAAAATCAATTAGTTTTGTTCTGCTTGACCATGGAGGTCAAAACCAGGAGCAATGGGGAGAGGGTAAAGATAGAAATTTGACTTGGATGTCAGGAACAATTTCTAACAATTAGAGCTGGCCCAAAGCTGAATCGGCTTCCTCCAGAGGTGATGAGTTCTCTCTTCATTGGAGATCTTCAAGCAAAGGCAGGATGATCATTTGTTAGGTACATCGTATAGATGAACCTTGTTCAGGTATGGCTTGACTTGATGTCTTCTGAGGTCCTTTCTAGATCCAAGATACTATAATTCTGTGATATCCTTGGAGCTTCAAATATTCTTAGAGTTCCTGGTGCAGAATTGGGTGACTTTTGATGCAAGGGGTTGACCAAGATAATTTCCCAATTAATTTAACATGTTTGTGGGGATTTGATTGTTTGATACCCAGAAGATAATATGCCACAGTAAACTGATTTGTCCATTGGAACCTTGGTAAGAGTACAAAGAACAACTCCTGAGTGGTTACTGATATTCATGAAATGATTTGGTTACCTGGAACTTTTAGAAAAATGTACTCTTGTATGAGGAGCTACTCCTTTATGCTGGACTATAAAAGACCTGAGACCACTCTTGGTGTCATTTTTACCCATATTTTACTTTTCCCTTACATCTTTCCTCTAGAGTTGTGCAATGTGGAATGGTGTCCCACTTCCTTCCCTACTGTAACTGACAGTTGCTGTCTTTTAGCTGAAGTACTTAGTAAACAGTATTTGCTTGCCCAAGTGCCCTGAGAGACTGGGAGGGGAATGCTTAGACCTCAAATTCCTAACCACCTTCTGCCTTTGTTTTCCTTTCTGTAAACATGTCAGAGAACAACAAACTGAAAGTGGACTTTCTAAGTCTGAGAGATGGCAGTAGCCAGGTTAGTAACAGAGTATCAAGAGTTGCTGCCAAAGCACATAACTGAAGCAGACACGTACTTGCTCCTATGTCCCAAGAAAGAGTTTATGAACAATGTTCCTAAACTTCAGCTTCCTAGAAGGTTCCAGGAGGAAGCACAATTCTAGAATTTAACAGAAGAAGCATTTTTCTGCACACTGTCCACCTTGTTCAACTTTGAGGACAACTCAAATTTAAGAGTTCAAAAACTGGTCTCCGAGAGAAAGAAGAGATTCTTTAATAGTGTGCCTAGTGGAGAAAGATAATACTCCATATGGCCTTTAGAGGTGGAGAGCAATAAAGGACTTTCCTTGAGATGAGGAGCCCTTTATTATTACCATGAGTAATTAGAACAGTGCAGAGCAGACACAAAGTAAATCTACCTTCTTGAGGGTTGGAGGGAGTCTCATTCAGAGGGTATCATTACAAGCTGGGGAGGGATCTCTGTGGGAGTTAGGGTTTTAACCAGGATGCCAGGGTGTTACTCTAATGGCAACCCCAAGTTCAGCTATCTTCTCAGGGAACCTTATAGACTATGGTATATGCTTCATGCATTTTCTTTTTGGGCTCCTTTTAGCAATTTTTGTGGGGTCCAAGAAAAGGCTGTCCTCTACCTAAGATGCACTTGTTACCCAAAGTGTTTGTACAGGAGCTACGAACCCTGAACCCATATGCTTACAAATTTCTCTGAGGAAATTCTGGGTGGGGGCCCATGAGCCAAAAGAGATGTCGACCTATTTAAGATTGGTGGTTTAGATCTAGCTTATGTGAGCCCTAAATTTAAACAAGCATTGGGCCACAGGCCACATTTATATAAGTGCTATATGTCTAAGCCTTCTATTCTGAAAAGGGAGGGTTGACTGAGCAGTTCATTGGGTTATATGAAAAAAAAAATGTTGATTTGGGGGCCAAGGACTTAATGTTTTGTAACATGAGACCACAGTTAATTCTCCATCTTATTCGGTATGTTGTCTTTCTATACCAGGTTTTGAAAGAAGCATTTTGCTTTTCCTCAGAAATAGCCACAGACTTATTTGCCTATATCCTAGTCTTTAATTCATTATACATTTAACCAAGAGCTTTTTTAAAATACTGTAAAATAGAGGAGGTCTAGATGCAGGGTTGCCAAGGAGGCCAGATGTTTCTTAGCTGAGGCCTAATTTCCCATGATTCTTGAGACAGAGTCCACAAAACAACCATACCAGTGATGACAAATAAACACTTGCCTACCTCTGGCTGCTGCTATTGGCAAAACTCCCCCCACCCCACCCTTTGCATTTTGTGAGAAAGTAAATGGATTTCTACACAGCCAAATGATCATCTGTTGCTCTGGTATAATCAGAATTGCAAGGCGAGAGCAGGAATCAAATTGGGGCATCCCTGGTGATGTCTGTTCCTGGCATTAATAGATTAACTGAAGAAAAGGTAACTGCTTCGAGCTCAACTTTCTTTGATTTCCCAAGACACTCTTAAAAATGAGATGACGCATATCAAGGGACTCAGTCCTAGCTAAATCATTCAGAAAACTGTATTAAAAAGCAATTAGGCCTTTACATATGGTCTGTAGCAGCCAAGGACTCTTGGGTATACAGGCAGGAAATTACGTCACTTGTTACCGTATGTGCTCAAAGTGCACATCCAATTTTAGATCAATGGGATGCAATCTAATTAATTCACCAATCCATACTCACGGAATTAATGCAACAGTGACTCTACTCTCTGTTGTCTTCACAAATCCATGAAATGTGGGAACACTACTATGGCAAATGGTTATGCAGTTAGTACTGTTGTGGGGTAGGGAGTAGCACTGGGGGGAAAGTGCTTCAGCAATTCTTAATTATTGAAATAAAAGTGATTTTTTTTAGCACATTCATCATGCTAAAATTTGTTTTGAAATTTGTTGTTTAAGTTGAGTCTTTTTTGCATTGACTCATGATTTTGCTCTTCGAAAGGAAGTTTTTTTAATTCCTGTGCCAACTCCATTGCGAAAGGACCTTTTCATGACATTCTTCACGAAAAATGGCTTTAGAAAAGCCAGCTCTTCACTCCTGTCCACCGCAGCTAAGCAGCTATTCAGCAGGATGAGAAAGTAATCAGATTTTTCAGACAGCTGGCAATTCAAATTAAAAAAAAAAAAAGAATTATTGCTTTAGGGCATTCTTTTTTTTTCCCAAAAAGCAAGAGTTAGAGTTGAAAGTTTGTTTCATCATAAAAGCAAACATTTCCAACATTTGAAATGACTCCATTTGATATAAACAAAACTGACTCCTTTTTAAATCAGCAATTTCATTGAAATGTAAGCTCTGTATCCATATACAGATTAATACTGTTGTATTCCTGTGCTGTTTTTCCAACCGCTATTCACATTTACAGTGGCCAATATGATTGAAATATAAATACATCTTTTCAATGGCACTAAAAATAACATAGCACTGAGGACTTTCAATCCTTCAAAAGATCTTGGATTTTCTTGGTGTGATGATTCTCTTCCCTTATGCCATTCAAAAGTGTATCTGCTAGATAGTCATCATGGGCAGCTCTGGACTCCCAAAGTCAACACCTAGGAAGGAGCCACTGTTCTCATGACTGATTCATCTAAGACGCATCAACTTAGAGTTGCAAAGGACTTTAGTGATCTTCTATTCCACCCCTCCCCCATTTGGAGAAGAAGAGACCGAACATCAGAGAAATTAAGGGAGCTGCCCAGGGTCACCCAAATACTAAGTGGCAGAACCAGCACCAGACCTAGGTCCTGCGACTCCAAAAACAGTATTTCCTGTTACACCACAAGGTGGCTTATCTTCTTTCAACAGATCCATAGTCTATGGCTGGCCCAGATGCAAAGCCTTCCACATTTACACAACTGGTCAGGACTTATTTGCCATTGGTATAAACTCTGAGAGCTCAAGGCTATTTTCACACCATAAGGAGGCATCTAAAGACTTAAGTGGTGGGGTTTTTTTAAAGATTAATTTTTACTGATATCCTTCATTTTTACATTACTTCATTTTTGAATACATTCCTCTACCCAAGGAGGCATCACTGCTAACAAAAATAAATAAATATACAAGCAAATAAGTAAATGAATGAATAAATGGAAGAGAAAAAAAGCAGTTTGGCAAAGTTAACCAACATATCAACTGAGTCTGATGGTATATGCAATATTCCACACTCACTGTCCCCACCTCTGCAAAGATTAAAAAACAAGTGACAGAATTTTTTTTTAACTTCACTCTGTGACCTATTCAGTGCTATTTTAAAATATTATCAGGGTCTATTTACCAACTTTTGATGTGATAGTTTTTCTTTGTTTTACTATTTTCCTCTCCTAATGTTCTAGTCTAATTGTCCAGTAGGGGGATTGAAGGTCAGGATAGTGTCACCTCTTTTGGGAAATCTCTCTCTGCTGTATAAAAATGTTAGCTTTTTCCATTAGGAAAGGAACAGCATATATCCTGAGCTACCGTATTTATTAGGTTTTCTCTCCTCTCTAGTTTCCGAGTGTGTGCAATGCACCAAAGAGGATTCAGAAGAGGATAACTAGGGTGAAAAAAATGATCATTGAGTAGAGCACTCTAAGCAAAGATGCTCGAGAAAGCACCTTTCCCAAGTAGGGTCCAGGCAGCATAAAAACATTGAAGCTGGAAAAAATACAAATCAACCCCCTTAAAGGCTTCAAGCCTCATTTTATACAAGATACACTCCTCCTCCCCAATATTCTGACACAAAGAAACACATTTCCTTTCAAGTTACATCAGGAAAGGATTGAAATGGTGAGTTAAAGAGCTACCTGGCTCCCCTAGGCTCCTGGGCTGCCCACCATGCATAATGCTTGGGGGCTAATTCAGATCAAGGTTACCCAGGATATCGTTTCTAACCTTCCTTAGGTGAATGCATTAAAGGAGTCCAGGTGAAGGGGCTGGTCCTTCAAGAAGCAGAATATTCCAGAAATTTGGAGCAAGTGGGCTCAGGGACAATACACATGGTCAATTGATCCAGAAGTCTTGACCACATAGCTACTATGCATCCACGGCTTTGCTACACACAGACTTAGATGGCCCCAACCACAGAAACTGACATAGCTTATAACTTCATCTATTTTGAAATTGGGGACCAGATGGCTCTGAATCACTCAATCAGTACTCATCTTCCCAGAAACACATTTGGTACCGACCCCTTAAAATTATAAAAGAAATGTCTGAGCATTAGTTTGGAAACTTAACTTCCCAGCCCTAGGAACTGAATCCCTCTGTGGATTACTGAAAGGAATCTCTGGAGGGGAGATGGGCCAAGGGACTCCTCTGCTTGTATTTTTAGGTGATGTCATTCCAGATCATCTCTCTGTAGATCATGAATCCCCAGAGTCATAGTCTGAGGACTCATTTGCCAAAGAAGCTAGATTCTTCTAGCTGTTCTATCACATCACTGCTGACTATAGGAGATATAATTAGGAAAATTCTCTGACCTGAAAAAAATAGGATGATGTGCAAGGAAGTAATGCCAGAAACATTCATTTTCAGATAAAAGAGACTTCGTGACTAAACATGAGGAAATTATAGAATCATAAAGAGGGACAGTCTAGAAGACTAAGCATGGAGTAAGGAGAAGCTGGGTTTAAGTCCTGCTTATGCACAAACTGGTTGAATGGTCATGGGAAAGTGTTTTAACCTCTCAATGCCCCAGGCAACTTCTTCTGAGTTACTGATCTGAATTACTGGGAAGATTTCTTGCACATATGATATCACATGTTCAGATTGCGAGAGACAGAGGTAGAAAGCTAGAGACAAAGAGAAAGACAGTAGGAAGTAGGAAGGAGAGAGGTAGGAGGAGGGGAGTGTTGACAGAGAGAGAAAAAGAGAAACAGAGAGAATGAGAGACAGACAGAGATATAGGCACAAGGAGACAAAGAGAAAATCCAAGACACACAGAGACAGAAAGATAAAAATGAAAGCTTCAATAAAAGTAAATATTTGCTTTGACTTTGTGAACAGATGTATTCAGGATAAAGAATGAAGAATTTAAAAAGTAGCTCTGTATGCCAAAATGTGCACTTTTGTGGCATTGTCAATACAGGTAGGATGCCAAGCAGATTTTTAAAATATTCCCTGAGTCTACTGAGTGAAACATGGCTTTGCAGTGACCTGATAGCTGGGTCCTCATGGCATTTTAACTGGACCCAGCTCTATTCATCAAGGCCCTCTTTCCTAAGTGACAGTTTACCAAGCATGACTTTTGCAGCATCAGTGTAAGCAGCAGAGAAAGAAGCCGAGTCTTACCGTGGGTGAGGGAGTGGGGTTGCAGCATAGCATCTGCATGGAAGAAATCCAGAGGACCAGAAAAAGATTCAACTTCAGTGAGCTGCAAAGGAAAAAAAAAACATCCAATGAGTCGCCACCAGCCAGCACCATCCAGGTGGCGGCCACCCAGCCTTTGCCTTTGGGAGAGCATAATCCTCTTACCTGGCCATGTTCTACCTGCAGAAACCTGTGCCAGCCCACAGCTCTCTATGGCCAAATACCTCACGCTTACTGCCAGCCCTTCCTTGGGTGACCCTTTTATAGGAATAAAAATGTCACCAGCTCACATCTTAAAGTGACTAATTGGTCCTGTGGTAACCTTTTCTCCTTGTTAACTGGTGATGATAAGAGCTCAGTGGCAGGGCCAATCTGCTCCCTGCTGCTGACATCCCTTCAAGTTTTGTCACAAAACAAAACTATGTCTCCAAGTCCTTGACTTCTAACCCATATCAGGTCTAACAGAGGTCTTGGGAACTGTCAAAAGTGTGCCATGCTTGGAATTTACACCTTCATGTAGAATGACATTAATCCCTAGAACGGGGCACGCCCATTCTGCTGCCCACACAAAATGAGCCTTAGGAGAAGAAAGACAAGGCAGATCTTTTCCTTGGCAACACTTTCAAGTTAATCAACTGTCCTTCACCCAATTGTCTTCTTTTCAGAGTTTGATAGTTAAGCATGTTTAAAAGAATGATTCTTCTTTCCCACCAGTATCCCTGAAAGAATGAGGAAACCTTGCTCAAAATTCCTCTGTTCACATGGTCTACCCTCCTGTGAAATCCTCCTGAACAGCTCTGCTTTTCTTCCAAAATCTAGGGAGATATGAGGAGGTCAGGTTGTTGGCTGGAGCTAGTGGTTAGGATCTTATAATTTATGTCAATAAAATTGACATCCAAATTGAAATCATCACTCCCCTCAACCCTGCCCTCTTCCTCCACTCCTTTCTATTTTGATGTCTTCCAAGTAGTAAGGATTGAAACCTCAAAATCTTTTTTTTACTCTTTTCTCCTATTCATGCCTTCACATCCAACTGGTCACCAAGTTTGGTGGCCTCTTCCCTCCACCTCCAAATCTTTTTCCAATCTGCTCCCTCCTGCCATTTGCATGGCCACAATTGTGGCTCAGTATACAACCTCCTGCCTATATTATTCTGATAACTTCTCAAACCATTTCTTCTCCACTGCACCTACACATCTTATCACTCTTCATTTAGTCTTTTTTTTTCTAACCACCTGAGGAATCTTCCTCAAGAGTTCCTCTGCTCTGAAATCTTTACTGGCTCCCAGTCTATAGGGCAAACTGTAAACTCCTTATGTTACTATTTAAGCTAGTTCACAATCTGGCAACTGACCTTTTCTAGCCTTGTAACTCATGTTCCTCTTCAAGCATTCCACCTTTTTACCAAACTGGACTGTGCTCAAGGGGGAAGAGTCAAGATGGTAGAGTAACAACTTAGCAATTTTGCTGTAGCTCTCCCCAAACCTCTTCTACAGTAAGCTAAAGGGTTTGACAAACCTCATTCTTACTTGCAAAGCCAAGAAAGTCATAGTGAGTCACTTGTTTTCAGCCTAGGGTAACTTAGAAAGATAAACAGAGAGATTTACAGACATTGCGGTGGGGGCTGTCCAAGAACATGGCACACTAGCAGAAGCAACACCAGTTGTATGGGGGCAGAAATGGTGTGGAGCATCCCAGTGCCCCAGAGCAGTGAGGGAATTAAACATTTGGGCATATAGACACCCCTAAAGGCCCTTGTTTTAGCACTAGGAGTAGGAACAGGGGGTATCTAGCAGCCCTGTCACCTAGTTCTAGGTTGGAGTTTATAAAAGCAGAAGAGCAACTGGGGTCATGAGAGAGCAGGTGACCTAGCTGTGTAAGGAGCAGAGCACAGAGAAGCAGGGCATTGAACAGACTTCTTCATGGATCACACCACACTGACAGCACTGGAAAATTGCAGACTCCAAGACTAAGCTGTGAAGAGCAGCAAAAGTTCAGACAATATATTCCTCCCTTTCCCCAGAATTGAACAGAGCCCAACTCTAATATAAAGTCCAACATCAAGAACTAGGCTGGAAAAATGAGCAAATAACAAAAGAATCAGAACATAAAAAGTTACATGGTGACAAGGAAGCTCAAGATACAAACTCAAAAGACAATAACTTGAAAACATCTGTAAGGAAAGCCTCAAAGAAAAATGCAAATTTTACATATGGCCAACAAGAATTTCTAGAAGAACAAATGAAAGAGATTTTTTAGAAGTGTAAAAATGATTTTTAAAATCAAGTAAGAGTAAGTAGAGGAAAAATAAGAAAAGAAATGTAAGCTATGTGAGAAAATTATGAAAAGAGAATTAACATCTTGGTAAAAAAGAGGTACAAAAATACTGAAGAAAGCAACTCCTTAAAAATTAGAATCGGTCACATGGAAACTAATGACTTTATAAAACAACAAGAAACAATAAAACAAAATTAACAGGGAAGTAAGAGGGAAAGGGACTAAGAGAAAGAGGGAGGAAGATAAGAAAAAGGGCAGATGAAGGGAGGCAGTAGTCAAAAGGAAGACTCTTAAGGAAGTGACAGGGTAAAAAAAAAAGATGGTGGATAGAAGAGGAAAAAAAAGATTGAGGGAAATACATCCTTAGCAGTCTATAATTGTTATTGTGAATGGGATGAACTCACCCATAAAATGGAAGATGGCAGAATGGATTACAAACCAGAATCTAACAATATTGTTTACAAGAAACACACTTGAAAAAGCAATATACACACAGGCTTAAATAAGGAGCTAGACAAGAAGCCTGCTTCAGGAGAATTTTTAAAAAAGCAGGGATTGCAATCTCGATCACAAACAAAGCAAAAGGAAAAACAAAAGACCTAATGAAAAGAAATAATAGAAGAAACTACATCTTGCTAACAGGTACAATAGACAATGAATTAATATCAATGCTGAACATATATATATGTATATATATATATATATATATATGTGTGTGTGTGTGTGTATGTACATGTATATATATATATGTATATATATATATATATATATAACACACACACACACACATATATATCAAATGACATAGCATTCAAATTCTTGAAGGAAATATAAATGATTTATAGGAGGAAATAGACAGTAAAACAGTAGGGGACATCAATTATGATAAAAACAGTAGGGAGCCTTAAAATTAGATACATCTAACCATAAAACAGACTATGCTACTCTGGGTGTGAGCAACAAGATGTCAGAATAGACAATTTCTCTAATACCAATGACCTCTCATACCTCTCCAAAATAGAAATTATGTGCCAAAGATAAGTAGTATGGTATAGGACACCCAGAATTCAAAAGAAGGCAAAAAAACCCCTAAATCTTAGGATCTAATGCTCACTGACCCTGAGTTTTCTCAGAACTTCTTTCCGATCTCCCATGTAGCCTACAAAGAGGCTGCACTAGCGGACCCAAGGACACAAAACAGGTTTACATCAAAGCCTGCTCCTGTACTTCCTCTTCCTCTTTTCAGTGCTATAGAATATCAGCTCCAGGCTATAGGACTTTCTTCAGGCCTTAATAGCCACCATGGCCACAGCTTTTAGGAGCAAGAGCTTGCTGGGTGTTGCACCAACCCAGAAGCACCAACACTAAGCTGGTAAACCATGAATTGCCCAGTGTGGGAGGAGGTTGCGATGCTTTGACATCTGACCCACAAAGAAATCATGATCAGGAAGGAGTCAGAAGTGAGTGATAAGGAAAATAAGGCTTTATGGTCACCAAATTTTGCTGTAGATTCACATTAAACTTGATGTTCAAATGACTTTCTGCTTAGCCTTTCCTCTTCCATCTCATACCTTACCTGTCTTCAACTCCATCTCAAAAGAGAAGGAGAAGAACTGAAAATATCTAAAATTCCAGGAAAAAGAAATCTCAAAGACCTTGAGCGTAAATAGAGAAATCAACAGGAAAAACAATAATTGAATCAATAGTGTCTTTTGGGTGCTTTGGGAGGTTATCCCCAAATATTTTATGCATTTTATGCATTTGGTTATTTGGAATTCAAGTTCCCTTTCTATCATTGCTTCTTGTGTTTTGTTATGATTATATAGAAATTCTGTTGATTTTTGAGCATTTATTTTGTAACTTGCAACTTTACTGAAGCTATTAATTGTCTAAATTAGCATCTCTGCTGATTCCCTGGGATTTCCCAAGTAAACCATCATATCATCAACAAACAGGGACATTTTTGTCTATTCCTTGTTTATCTTTATTCCTTTAATTCCTTTATCTTGTCTTATTACTAGTATTTCTGAAACCAACTAAATGATAGTGGAGAGAGTGGGAATCCTTGCTTCATTCTTGTATTTTCTGAAAAAGATTCTAGTGTATCCCTATTGCATATGATGCTTGCTTTCAGTTTTAGATAGATTTTTTCTTATGATATTAAAAAAAAAGGTGTCAAGCCTTTACTTTGTAGGGTTTTTAGCATAAAAGAGGGTTATACTCTGTCAAAAAGCTTTTTCCACATCTATTGAAATGATCGTGAAGTTTGGGATATTTGGGTTTTTAATTTGGTCATATTGACTGTTTTTCTAATGTTGAGCCATTCTTTCATCTCTGGTATAAATCTTATTTGATCATAATGATGATTTCTTGGGTAAATCACTGTAATCTTTTAAATAGGATTTTGTTTAATTTTTTGTGTCATTGTTCTAGCCTATAGTTTTCTTTCTGTGTTTTATCTTTCCCTGGTTTAGATATTAGTGTTATATTTTTCCAATAAAAGGATTTTGGTAGGATTTTTCTTTCTTAATTTTTGGGAATAATTTGAGAAGTATAGGTACTGATTTCTTTAAAAGTTTGACAGAATTCTCCAGTGAATCTGTCAAATCCAGGAATCTTTTTCTTGGTACTTCTTTTGTAACTAGATCTATTTCCCTTTCTGGGATCAGATTATTTAAAATCGGTATCTAGTCTTCTGATAGTTTGGATATTTTATGCTTTTGAAGATATCTCTCTATTTCTTCGGTGTTCTCAATTTTGTTAGCCTATTACTATGAATAATGTGTTTGGATATTTCTTTTTATTCTCTTTTTCCTGTGATTTGAGCCTAGTCAGTT